ACATTATAAACGTGTAGAATACGTATATTATTAGCAGCGTAGAATGCGTATTCGAAAACCTATTCGAAAACCAAAACGAATCATCAATTAAAAATAGAAACAAAAAAAAGAAAAAAAAGAAAACCTTTAGTCCCGGTTGGTACCAACCGGGACTAAAGGGCCGGGCCACGTGGCCAGGCCGGGAGGTCTCTTTAGCCCCGGTTGGTATTACCAACCAGGCGGGCGCGAAACCGGGACTAAAGGAGGGGCTCTTTAGTCCTGGATTCGTGCTTCCGGTTCCAAAACCGGGACTGAAGGGGGTTGAGAACCGGAAGTACAGCTCGATTCTCTACTAGTGGAGGGACCAACAAGTGGTGCGCCGCCAAGGGGTAGCTGTGCGTTGCGACTTTCCGAGCAGACCTAGCGGCATAGTCGTGCGTTGCGACTTTGTGAGCAGACCTGGCGACGGACGTATATTGCGAGCGGCCAAGGACCAACCGTCAGGATGATGTGGCCCATTTAGCCAAGCTGTTGTAGCACTCATCTTTTTTAGAATCTTTTCTATTTTACATGATGGCTAAATCAAAAGATTTAGCATTTATTTTTAGCTAATCTGTAGAAGTTGCTCTTACTCCACCTGACTGCATGCACCCGAATGGACATGGTCCCGCGCATCGCATGCACCTGACCGCATGCAGTCATGCACGCCATCTGAGTACTCCGTATACCTCATGCACATGGCCCTACCCCGTGCATTAGTACCGGTTGATTGATAGCTAATGTTCTCTGTCACCACCAGCATCTCCACAAAACCCAACAGCACCAACTGTTCCCATGTCGCCCAGTAACGTAGAACCACTCGATCGGCCGTGGAGGACCCTAGCTAACTGGATTCATTGATGATGAACGAACCACGGCTACGAAGTCCAGCCACACTGCCACGGCGAGCACTATATAACACGTGTTTGCTTGCACCGGCGGCAACACAGCCCAGACGGCTAACGCTATCCGCACTCGTCGACCTCTATTTCCATCTTAAAAAAGAATATTCTATTCTAATTATCGAGATTCTTTACTCTATACCTATTTCTCCGTACCCATGTTATCTCTATCCCATACTCTATATCCACTACTCCCTCCGTCCCCTTTTAATTGTCGCTGGGGAGGTGGGCACAGGAATTAAGGCAGGTGGGCAAAGACCTGAACACCCCTAGATAACAAGTACTGACATTCTGCGGTTTTGGAATGTTATGCCATTAATGTCACCTTTTGCTCACCCAGTCCATAGATTTCTTACAATAAACAAATCAAAATTCACATCACTTGGCGGCAAACACATTTTTTACACCAAACAACTTAGCATCCACTCGGCGGCAACCACAACTTACCGTCAATTTTTATACAGACGAAGCAATCCAAAATTTAAAAGTAGCGCTATTTCTCTAACAGCAGTGGCAATAAAGCATGGTTACCCTTTCTTTGCATTCATTTGAACCACTCAGTTCTCATCCATCTCCCCATGGCAATACTAGACTTAAACAAGCTACCAGAAGAGAGAAGAGAGGAGGTGCCAGATCTAAACAAGAATCCTGCTGAACATGGACATGAAAAGGATCGTGGTCCCTGGGAAGATGTAGTTGCTGCAGTTCAAGTTGGGGGAGCTGACCACTTTAATGTCCATCCAGCTGAGAATGATGAAGAAGAACAAATTCGTCAAGGTAAGCTCATCTATTTCTATCCAAACTGAGTGTACTGGCTCTAATTCTCTCTATCCTCTCTCCTTAAACTAGTTGTGCTTATTTATTTATATCTCCTAAAATCACAAGCAACAGCACGTGTTCTCTCTAGCCTCTCTCTCTCAAATCATAAATTAGTATGTGCTGGTTTAGTTCATCTCTACTAAAATCACTAGCAACATCTAAGAATTTCTAGTGTTTATCTCTCACCTAAAACTCCTTTGCAGCATGGATCCTTATCCTCTCTTTGTCCTAAAATTAATATGAACTGCTTTAATCTATCTCAAATAAAATCACAACCAATATTAGTGATTTTTCTGTGTAAGGCATGCAGCTCATATTTGTTTCAAGGTCAAAATTAAATTGTAGTGATAGGAATAACTCACATGTGTGGTTGGCAATGCATTCTCATAACCATCACCTTTCTGTACCAGGTGACAATGCTGGCCATCCATTTGTTGCAAATGATCCACATGAAGAAGACCCAGAAAACCTACATGCAGGTGGTTATTTCCCTCAGGTTGAAGTCATCTTTGCAACAATAATTGTCCATGTGAAAAAGTTTGATAATCTATTGTGTAGCACATGTTCTTTCTATTCTATCTCTCTCTAAATTAGCGTTTCAAACTCTTTTGCAGTCCTCTCTCTGTCCTAAAATTAGTATCAACTGGCGTCCTAAAATTAGTATCAATTGGTTTAGTCTCTCTCGTAAAATTGCAAGCAAGATTAGTCAATTCTCTGTGTAAGGCATGCAGCTCATAGTTGCTTCAAGTTCAAAATTAAATTGGAATGAGAGGGGACAATAACTCACATGTGTGGGTCACAATGCAATTTTCTAATCATCAGCATGCTTCTGTACCAGGTGACAATGCTGGCCATCCATTTGATTTAAATGGTCCACAGGAAGAAGAAGAAGAAGAACAAAATCTGCATGCAGGTAATTATTTCTCTCATGTTCAAGTCATGTTTGCAACAATAATTGTCCATGTCAAAAAGTTTCATAATCTTTTGTGAAGCAGTTCTCTCTAGCCTCACTCTATCTCCTCAATTTTTATGTTCTGGTTTACTTCCTCCCTACTAAAATATCTAGCAACATCTAGGAATTTTTAGTGTTTATTCTCTTTGTTCTAAACTAGTATGAACTGATGTACTGAGAGAGGGAGAATAACTCACATGTCTGGGTGACAATGCATTCTTATAATGATCCATTTGATTTGAATGATCCACTAGTAGAACAAGGAAACCTGCATGCAGGTGATTATTTCCCTTAGGTTCAAGTCATGTTTTCAAGAATAATTGTCCCTATGAAAAGTTGGATAATTTATTTAATGACAATAAGCACACAGCATCTACATTTTTTTAGGAAATGACAACACTGCCTTACAAGCAGAACATGATACCTTGGACGATCTCATACAAGACTTCGAAGTGTACACGGATGATGTTGACATCATATTTGATGAAGAAGAGTTGTCCGACTCGGATGACGACGAAGATCAGCAAACCCAGCAAGAAGAAGCAACAAATATGGTCAGGATTTTGACAAAAAGAGAACGGCAAGACATTTATGAAGATTTGCTTCGGTTAAGCAATAATGGCAAATTAAAAAGAGACAGCACAACACTTATTGCTGCAAAGTACAATGTCCATGTGCGTACAATACAACGGGTATGGCAGAGAGCAAAAAAATGTTTGGAACAAGGCATACCAGTAGATGTCAAATCTTTGCGACTTAAGAATTGTGGTCGTAAAAAAATTCAAGTGGACCTCACAAGGGTTGTTGATATTCCCTTAAACAGAAGGGGTACCATAAGGTCACTAGCAACTGCTCTTAATATCAATAAAAGCTCTCTACATAGGTTGTTCAAAGAAGGCTTGCTACGACGACACTCCAACTCATTGAAGCCTTATTTGAAGGAAGAAAACAAACAGGCAAGGCTGCAGTGGGTACTCTCTATGCTAGAAGAAAGTACTCTACCAGACAATCCCAAGTTCAAAGAAATGAAAAATATTATTCACTCAGATGAGAAGTGGTTCAATGGGACAAAGAAGAATCTGACTATGTACATGCATCCAGATGAAGAAGACCCACATATAACAGTGCAAAATAAGAATGCCATTCACAAAGTCATGTTTTATTCTACTGTTGCAAAGCCCAGGTTTGATGCTGAAGGGAGATGCTATTTTGATGGGAAGCTAGGCATATGGGCTTTTGTGCGAACGGTACTAATCTTTGTCTAAATAATACTTGCAATCCCTTTTACGGAGTATGTTATTTCAAATAACATTCTTTTTAATTACAGGAACCAGCAAAAAGGAGAAGTGTCAACATACTAAGGGGCACACCTATCACAAAGGCCATGAAGGTTGATAGACAAACAATGAGAACTTATATGATCGACAAACTCCATACCAGAAATACAAGCTCGTTGGCCCAGAGAAGCAAGGCATGAGACAATATGGATACAATAGGACAATGCTCCTTCTCATGTACCAGTAGATGATGCAGTTTTTGCTGCAGCAGTAGCCCGAACAGGCCTCGATATACGCCTAATGAACCAACCTCCTAATTCTCCTGATATGAACTGCCTTGACCTTGGTTTCTTTGCTTCTCTTCAATCGCTAACGGATAGAACGACATCCAGAAACATGGACGAGCTCATCCAGAATGTGTACATTGAATATCAAAACTACAACCCCATCCTTCTCAATAGGGTATTCCTCACACTACAAACATGCATGATTCAAGTTATGAAGGATAATGGAGGCAATAGGTACAAGATCCCTCACATGAATAAAGAGAGGCTAGAGGCACAAGGCATGCCCCCTACAGCTCTAAGTTGTGATAGCCAGCTAGTTCAAAGGGCTTTTGAGTTGTTGAACACTTAATGGTTCTGTTCATGTAAACATCACTAGTGATACTTTTGCGTTGTATAAATTCTCTGTATATATATGACCATGAATAAAGTCTCTGTATCATGTGGCAGCGACAAACTAGTAATTCCTTAGTGTGTCATTTAACATTGCAATTCACAAAGTAGTATACCATAACATAGATACATGCAAGCACCGCAAATCAAAATGAACCAAACCAGTCCAACATAAACCATCAGTGCAAACAACCAACAACCCATCAGTACCACCAGCACTAGGGTGGAGTTACAATCAAAATGTTACCAACACCTTGACTACGACCTTGCGTGTTGTAGCCCAATGGTTCTAACGTTTGGAACTCTTGAAAACATCTTCATACGTAGGAATGAAGGTAGTGAACATGTCTGTTACCTATTCATTTAAGTCGTCATCTTGCACCTGTGAATGGCCTCGCAAGTCCACACCATCCTGAAACCAACATCCCTCATCATCAGTTTCCAGATCAGAGAAGCTAGCTTTATGGTCCACCTCCTCCTTGCTAGTATCCATCTGCACCTTGGCACACGACATGTCCAGCTTGTCGCTCTCCACATCCAACTTCACACTGTCCACCTCCAGCTTGGCACTCTCCTTCTTCAACTTGACCCTATCAACCTGGACCTTGCCAGCCAACATCTCCAACTTGTCGCTCTCCATCTCCACATTGCCACTCTCCTTCTCAAACTTGACATTGTCCATCTGCAGCTTGTTGCTCTCCATGTTTACCTTGGAAATCTCCTTCTCCTGCTCCAGCTCAAAAATAAGGTCGCGCCACTGGTGAAGCATAGTACTGCACAGAAACGATAGAATTTATACACAAGATCAGTGGCGGAGCTTGAAGCCAGAGCCTAGCTTGACCCCAACGTAAAGCTGGCTTACCCCAAACGCCCACGACCTTGGTTGCCACACGCCCAAAGCAATTACGCTCATCAGAACAATTTCCTGTGGCTGCGTCTCAGGCACGTACTCATCCTCATCGCCAAGCAAAGATGAACCCTTAACCCCTTCTTCTTCATTCGAATCAGGTATCAACTCGAATCGATCCGCACCCCCTTCCTGTGTATCTTGAGCAAAATCCTGTCCTTCGATGGCAATGCAGTTAAGCTTATGGTCCCACCAAGTTCCACGACGACGATCCCGACCGCGCATCTGCTTTGCAGGCCACATCCTATGGCTTGAAGGGATTCCCAAGGCACGCTTCATTCGCAAGTGGCGAATGAACCGGCTAGGCCCATGTGCCCCGTTGCCGCCTGCCATCCAAGGATTGCCTGACAAAAGAACACTGCAATAAGAGTAAAACACTTGATTCTCATGCAAATGATAAACTGATATGACAAAAAAAAGGAAGGGACTAAAAAATTTGAGAAACAGAAGCCATTCTTCTTAATGAAAAAAGCACTAGCACAGCAACAGGATTTCTGAGCATAATAGTAGCTGAGCCATATTTTTCGTAAATGTCTAGGCCATCAACAGAGTGGATTAGATGTGCCTAACTTAATTTTCTGAGCATGATGTAGGTAACCTATTTTTTATTTGCTTATAGTGGTCATGCAAAGATTGAAGTTTTTTCAGAATAGAGATGTGATTTTTAGAGCAGGAGGAGTACCTTGACGAAACTTGAGGGTCCTCAACACAGACCCTCAGATCTAGCCTAGCTCCGCCTTGAGCTGGTAGGAGGCAAGGTTGTGGGAGGCAGTGCGACGACAACAGAGGGCAGCAGCGACTAGGAGCGGCGGGCCTCTGCGGGTCGGCGCGGAAGCCGTGCTTCACCCTTGTGCTGTTGGATGAGTCTCGGCGATGTCACGTGGACGAAGGGTCTGCGTTCTCGGCTCCCCTAGCCCGGCGCAGGATGAAAGGGAGGGGCCGGGCCAGAGGAGGAGGCAGACGTCGTGCGCCGCCGCACGAGTGAGCCTACGCTCTCGCCTCCTGCAGCCCAGCGATCGGCGACGATGCGGATGGGGCAACCGGTGACGATGATGGGGCAAGCGGCTTAGAGGATGCGGCGACCGGAGACGATGCGGATGCGGATGGGGCGACACAAGACCGACAAGGATGCGGTCGAAGAGGGCGAGATTGGGGATCGGTGGATTTTTTTTTACGAAGGCCTGTGCGGTGGTGTGAGGGGAAAGCAGTGAAGGGATAAGGCTGCTGCGGGCGACGTGCGGTGGGAGTCTGCACCTAAGCGTGGGACCGGCGTCACTGGCCCAACGACACACATTAAGGGACACCGCTCCCCTCCCAGAACGACGGACATTACGGGACGGAGGGAGTATTTCATATTTTATTCCCCGCCTCCCCCTTCTCTCTCTCCCTAACTCTCTCTCTACTACAGTGTTGCTACAGTGTTGCTACAGTGTTTAGCGTGGCTCTCTCGCGTGCGCGGTCTGTGGCGGGTTCCTGTGCAGCCGGTACGCTCCCGGGGCCTTTGCAGGCGCGCGGTACGCTACCGCTGGCGTACCGGCCGCTTTAGCGCTCTGCGGTGCGGTCAGCCTAAGCCTTCTACATCGGGCGTACCTCGGCCTCCTCTCTCTCGCAGGTCGCAGCAGGCAGCACCAGCAGCAAGCTTGAGAGAGAGTGGTATGGGGAGTGTGCCAGAGGAGGAGAAGGCCCCGGGCTTCGGCGACCTGCTGAGCGACCTGAGGGAGGTGTACGAGAGCGGCAGGACCCAGGACCTGGAGTGGCGGCAGTCGCAGCTCAGGGGCCTCATCAGGCTCCTGGAGGAGGAGGAGGAGGAGATCTTCGACGCGCTCCATGAGGACCTGGGCAAGCACCGCTTGGAGGCCTTCAGAGACGAGGTTGGTTGGTTCCTTCTTTCTTGCGTGTCTGATTGAATACTCTGCGTTGTGTGTTCATTTGATAAACGAGCGCTCGTGTTCAGGTTGGGGTTCTGAAGAAGTCCGTCGTCGACAAGCTGCAAAACCTCAAGAACTGGGCGGCACCGGAGAAGGCAAGAAAGCTCTCTCTGGCTAATACTAATACGCAGGAGCTTAGCTTATGCCTGCATGTAGGTCGATATGCATGCTGTCAGTTTATCAGGATGGATTTCCTCATGACTAGCTGATGCATTTCGTCATGCCTTAACACTTGTGATTACAGGCTCACACGCCGCTCGTCGCCTTCCCGGCGACCGCGCTGGTGGTGCCGGAGCCACTCGGGGTTGTGCTCATCTTCTCATGCTGGAATCTCCCAATAGGTGAGGCCGCCGATGAACTCTTTGCTTTACATTAGGCGTGCTTGCAGTGCAGCGAACAATAAGATGATTAAGGCCTGGTTTGATAAGTATGTAATCGTCTCAATCTATATATGTTGAAGTGGATTAGAGTGTAGTTGGACTAAATCTTATTCCATTCCATTTTATTTCACTCCAACACATGTGGATTAAGGTGGATATGCATGCATCTAACAAGGCCTAAATGTGCTTCTCTCTAGAAACTGGGAGAGATACTACCGATCTGACTGAATGACTCAGAACATTAATTAATATAAACCCCAATCTAGAAGAAAGTACGCTAGCTTCTTACTTTTAACAACAAAATATATAGCTAGGGACTGAAAGGCAATTATATATATGTTGGTTAGACATCACATCATCGTATCAATTTCAAGTATAACTCGCGAAAACTGTTGATTGAGTGAGTCGCATTGGTGACCCGCAAGAAATGCATGACCGTGTGTCTGCGTCAAGTGTGTGGTGCAAAATTTGCCAACCTACACAACTCCACAAGTATAGCTTCATTACTTTTGCAACAATATCCTCAGATACATCGAATTGGACCCTAGTCAAAGTTATAGATACTTTCTCCTATCACAATTCACAAATAAAGTTCACCTAGATTTGCTCGATCTAAGTCAAACGGATTACCTTTTGCTACCGATTTCTAAAATTTTACATACGACAACACAAAATTAATACTAGAATGTTTTCCATTAAAGCCTATTTAAGTGTCATATATCCATGATTGCGTCGTTTCAGTGGCTGTTCAAAATAATATAATGCTAGTGAGAGACAGTACGAATTGTAAGCACTTTCCTAGGTATAGGCTTTATGTATTACTACTCGACTCCATTGATTTTGATTGTGCAACTTAGATGTGTTTTATTAAACGTCTCTTTCCAAAATGCAACGTTGATTAAGAGCAGTACTGCACTCGCACTGCTGCACAGCATGAATTGGCCAAGAACCTAACAAAAAAGGTCCAACCCAAGGTCCAAATGATCGCTAGTACTACTACCCAACTACATAGTCCACAAGCTAGCGTAATCATTGGTGCAGAGCTAGCGTAATAGCCGTGTCTCGTGACTTAACCAACCTGTCTGATGGCTGACAGTGCGTGTGCGTCGCCTTTGTGAATTATGACAGCTGGTAGATCTCGAGCGTGTTCTCCTTGTCCTTAGGCTAGCTGATAGTTGGAGACTTTTAGGGCACGATCGGTGAAAGAAACTAAACCTGCAGGAACCGTTTGCTATCACAACGAACCGACTACTCAAAAACCAATTGTTGGTGCACCTGTTGTGAGAAGAATCGAAGTTGAGATAAAAAAAAGAGAGAGGCGCGATTGATATGACAACGAAATCATCATCTTTCGCTCATGTCATGTTCCAGTGATCAAAACGGCAAAACCACCAAGCACCCACCATGTTTCTGCTGGTTTGACATGCGCAGGCCTAGCTCTGGAACCGCTCTCCGGAGCCCTGGCGGCCGGCAACGCTGCGGTGGTGAAGCCATCGGAGCTGGCGCCATCCACCTCGGCGTTCCTGGCGGCCAACATACCCAAGTACCTGGACTCCAAGGCCGTGAAGGTCGTCGAGGGCGGGCCTGAGGTCGGGGACAAGCTCATGGACCACCCATGGGACAAGGTTCTCTTCACTGGTAATCACCTAACCACGTACAAGAGTTCTCTGAACAAATATGAACTACCACTACTTGCATTCGTTGCATGAGCGTATATCTGATCTGACGGCCCGCTACGTTTCTTGGCCTGGTGTTTGTTTGTTTCTCAGGCAGCAGCCGTGTTGGGCGCCTCATCATGACCAAGGCCGCCAAGCACCTCACCCCGGTGGCGCTTGAGCTCGGCTCCAAGTGCCCCTGCATCGTCGACTGGCTTGACAGCAATAGGGACAGCCAGGTGGCGGTGAATCGCATCACTGGAGCGAAATGGTCCACCTGCTCCGGCCAAGCCTGCATCGCCATCGACTACCTGCTGGTGGAGGAGGAATTTGCTCCGATTCTGGTCTGCCCCACCCCCAATAGCCTCCGATGTGCATGCAGTCTCGTATCATATATATGACATCTTCTGCTCTAGTATGTTACTATGTTACCGCACCTGACAACAACGCTTGTTTGTTCCCCTGATGAACGAAGATCGAGATGCTCAAGTCGACGCTGGAGAGGTTCTTCACCAGGCCGGAGTACATGGCGCGCATTCTGAACGAGAAGCATTTCCAGAGGCTGAGTGGCTTCCTGGCCGACCGCAGGGTGGCGTCTTCCGTGGTCCATGGCGGACACTTCAACCCCAAGACGCTGTAAGGCACCCACCCAAGGCAAAGCAGTGTAGTGTTACCGCAGAAACCGGCCGGCGCCTCTGCTTGACGTTGACGCCATGTCATGTTCCCGATTGTGGTGTGCAGGAGCATCGAGCCCACGCTTCTGCTGAATCCCCCGCTGGACTCTGACATCATGACGGAGGAGATATTCGGCCCGCTGCTCCCGATCATCACGGTGAGCATGAGCGTTCTAGCTGACGCATTCCTCCTGGCTGAATCTGAATGGAGTAGACGATACCTCTCTACTGAACAGCCAGCCAATGCATCTCACATCTGTTTTCTCCAGGTGAAGAAGATCGAGGACAGCATCAAGTTCCTCAAGTCGAAGCCGAAGCCGCTGGCGATCTACGCCTTCACCAGGAACGAGAAGCTGAAGCAACGGATCATCGACGAGACGTCGTCGGGCAGCGTCACGTTCAACGACGCCATCGTGCAGGTGCGCAGCACTGATCACTCACTCCTGCCGTGACTGACACTGACCTGCACCTTCTTCTTCTACTACTACTGGAGTAAATGCACACCGTTTCTGAACTTTCTCCTGCAAACGTTTTGCTTGCTTGCAGTACGGCCTGGAAAGCATCCCGTTCGGTGGCGTGGGGTTCGGGCAGTACCACGGTAAGTACTCGTTCGAGATGTTCAGCCACAAGAAGGCGGTGTTCAAGAGGAGCTTCCTCATCGAGTTCATGTTCCGGTACCCGCCGTGGGACGAGATC